CAAAAAAAATTCTGTTATCTTGTATTTTCCATGTTTAACTGTCTCACTCACTTTTCCCCATGTTCTGTATCCTAATCCACCTATCCCCTTCACTGTTATTGTTGTTGCGTTGACACCATGCTTGTTTTCAAGCCGGTGGTAAATATATATATCATCGACTACTCACATGTTTCACACTTTGAAGACTTTTTTCGCACGCCTGAGTAGGACTCAGCCCATGACGCATGTACTCCACGGCTTGGAAGGTTAGAAGGAACCGCATCATCACTTCACCATCTCCGGTGCCGACCGCAGCTCCGACCTGAACACGATTCGAGAAAAAAAAATAGTTTTCATGGAGCTTGTGAGGAAATCGGCACCGATGTCCATATTAGAAGAGATAGCATAATAACTAAATTTGATGAGCTACGAAGGGCCTGAACACCAAAAGCCTTCATTTACATAATAAGAAACCGTATACTTTCCACGAATATAACTCACTTATTCAATTCTTTATAAATTCAAAACTCAAGTGAATAATTTGTCTCTTAGATTCGAAATGAAATAATGAATTCAAGAACATTCCTTTACTATTAGTAAGACAAATGCAGAACTTAGTCAAATGGATTAACCTATCCAGAATGTCCAGTAGTTCATCTTGTCATACGCTTGCCTTGACGGTTTCAAGCAAGAGCAAAGTTGACCGCTGGATTGGACCAAGAGAGGCCGAACATAACTGTTTATAGTCCTATGTATTTTCAATCCTGGTTATCGTAGTGCTGAGTGAACAAACAATCCATTCATTTTCTCTAAGAGCCATTGAAGTGTATGTCGTGCAAAACAGACGCAAAATGCATTGTTCTCCTTCAATAAACAGATGATCAAAGCTAAAGCCCTGGCCCGAAAATCTTTGAAAACTGGTAATAAAAAACTTGATCAAAACAGACATCAGTAAGGTATCTAAAAATTGAAATTCTTTGGAATTGCGAAAGAATGAATACAGTTTCCTCTGTGCACTGTCAATTTATTCATTGGATATGAATTTTTCATGCAAATTCAACGAGTCCTCGCTAACGGAAGGCCTTGAAAGCGCCGTTCATATGTTTCATTGCTGTTGAGAAACATGCATGATTCAAAACCACCGTATTTATTAACATTCGAGCCCAAGTATTTGGGGTCGCTATTTCAGGTACATCAATAATTTAAATTATCTCCGCTGCCGCTCAGCACCTTTTTCGCACATGCACCCAAACAAATTCAGTTCAAATCCGACACTATCGTTGTGTGACGGAAGGCGGTACAAAGAGGGCCCCGGCTAGCGAACGAATCAAGAATGTGGCTCATCTAACCAGACGCTCAGACGTAGCGCCTGGTAGTACTTCGAGAGACAATGTCGACTACCACCCGAAACGAACGAATCGAAAATTACAGCCCCACAGACAATCCGCAGCTAACCAGAAAGATATACACCGAATGCCACTACTTCGGAGCTGTCGATCGACGTATCTCTCACTACGATCGGGTCAAACCAGCCGGAACGGCACGCGGAAGAAGAGGCAACGTACGTGCCAAGTGCGGACCAAAACCAGCAGGGATTGACCAGAAGAAGGAGACATGAATCATCCTGCCGCTCGGTTGAGAATTGAATGTATATAATTGAACGCGTACACTGGTTGTTTTTGAATTGGATCAATAAACAGTTTCCCAGCCAGCTCGCCTTCTCGCCACAGTTGTACGCATTGCGCGATCAGTTTGGGCTGTTGAAATAATTACTACTCGCGAGTAATGTAAATAAACGTTCTGAAATATTATCAGGGATGTGCAATGACAATTGATAGACGAAGTTTTTTTATCCGTTCCGGATATTTTCAATTAACAGAGAATGAAGTATACCTTTATACCTTCTTACCTTAAAAGTCATCATCATCGTACAGTCTTTGACTACTACATGATGCAGGTGCTACTTCCATTTCACTAACTATTGTTGCCCACCAGTTTTCACGGCCCTTCTTGAGGCTCTTCGTGAGCTGACGTGGCAGATGCCACCTAACCCTGTTTAGATAGGTTGGGATTTATTGCCTTTTCTCGATCAGGGCTTCTGAATCATGAGATATACAAGCAACATTCACTTCGGAATGTATTGCTCGCCTAATATGATCCCACTGCTCATCTACATCAGCACTTTGAAGTGCGCTTAGCTTGCGCACTAGCTCTGACTCAGAATGCAAGAACTGCCGGAACAGACAGGCAATGATGGGCTATCCGAGTTTTCTGGTTTCGTCGTCGACCATTAAATCGGAGAATGAACTACATTAAAACGAATGCGTAGTAGACTCAATGCAGGTCGTACAACAGGACCTGCAATTTCGCACTGAGTCATGCCAACGGGAGCTTACTGCTATGTGGTCGATTTAAGTTAGCGTATTAGTTGAACTGGGGCGCCACGTTGCCATCTATTGAGAGCTGTGTCAGAAGTTGGTACTGGATGGGAACAGATGATGCTCTGCGCAGAACTTAAGAAGTCGGTCGCCGTTATCCGTTCGTTGGCAGAGCAACACACAACTACCGTCTAGGCAAACTTCTGATGCGTTTAGTTTTCCAACCTGCGCGTTAACATCACCTGCAAGTACAACTATGTCGGAGCTTCGAATCAGCCGCATGAGATCGATGAGTTCATCGTAGAAAGCGTCCTTTTGTGTATCAGAACTGCAGTTATTCGGTGCATATACCGATATGATGAACAAATGTCTTTTGGCGTTACTTCCCTTCCAGACGCTGTTTGAACCCTTGAGATGCATTGAACATTAACGAGTGTTGATGGGGATCTAGTATATAAGAGTTGACTCGGCCGCGTTACAGAGTGCAATACCTACTTCATGCTGACCTTCTAAGTGGGCTTCAGAGTCGCCTGATGTGCAAAGAACATAGCTCAAGGGGCTTATAGCAGTAGGATCCTGAATTTGAGTCTCTAATATACAGCAAATATCGATCCCTAAGGATTCCATTGCACGCACCAGCCAAGCTAGTTGATAAACTTGCATCAGAGTCCCCACGTTGAAGGCCCCTAGATTCAGTGATTGACAAAACTTAAAATCTGCAACCTATTTTGTGGCAAACTACTAACAACGCTACTGGGAAACGAACGAACTTTGGTGAGTGACGAACGAGTTACCTGAGGGAATGTTACGAGTCGGAAGAATGGGTTAAGAGTGAGGGTTGGGTATGGAAGAGAAAGAGTCAAACAAAGGTTGGAATGACGTATTAGTAGCTCACTTACCACTACCCACCATGCTCGATGCCTTCGAAAGCCTCAGTATGGTGAGGGGGTGGGGGTCTGGGATTGTGACTGCTCACCGTTTCCATACATCTCGCGAAGTGCTCCTATATGACCAAGCGTCTCACATAGCCTCTGCTGAGAAAGCCCTACTCACTGCCTTCTCGTGGCAGAGGTGTTTTCCCACCTAAGTGAGAGAACGAAAAGCTGACATCCGGAACTATAACCGGGTTCGTGAACCCTTGGCAGTTCACTTAGGGGAGTTGGCTAAAATCTCTGATTACAAACCAACCAAGAAGAGGCGTACGAACCACACGCGCACCTTCCTGGTCACGGCAATGGTCACCGGTTCAATTGGGTATCAAGGTGTACTGGGCAACTTGGACGTTTGACCCCGTCCAAAGGGCGTATGGTCCAGTGAACTGGCTACCGGCCCTCAATGAACTTCGAACTCTGAGCTCCGTCTTTTTGTCTTGCAGATTTGGCTTTCTAGTCAAAGGTTTAGGGTGGGGACCCCGAGGCTATCCCCCTTCCTCAGTCAGGGACACCAAGAATTAGCATGCCCACACAACCCATGAACACATTCTACAAATTCCTTTCTGTTCATATGTTGTGGCACATTTGCCAGTTTTCTGTAATTGGTTACGTGATGAATAAAATAATATAACATGCTCGATGCAATGGGCAGTTCGGTCCTGATTATCCTGTGCGACAACCGATGCAGTATGGAATTGTTTACAATTTTGTATGCATTGGGGTTTGATGGTCGGGTACGGCTAGGGTGTCCAGATATCAAGCAGAAGAACGATTTAGCTTATCAACCAACGCTCTTAGTTCTGGCAAGCACCTAACCGTAAAGCAGCGTGTGAAGCGAAGTGGGGACCTATTTACTTGGATCGATCACTCCTTCACCATTTTTACCGGCTGAAACGCAAATTCTAGTTGAGCCCACAACTTGGAGGACACAAGCCATCACACCACGTCAAGTTACAATCTTGTCTTAAAAGGCTTACGATAAAATGTTTGTAACCACCGTACCGTCCGTTCCTATNCTCGGTGGATTTGTGAAAAATTCGAGTGCTCCCTGACGCACTGGTGCAATTCCACCTGATGATGCACAAATTTGAAACATACTCCACACCACACTATGGCAAAGGCAGAAAAGTGCTCACAGTCATTAATGTGTGAATTGCCGGACCGCGAAGGCGTATTAGGCTCAAACACACAAGTAGAGCTTAATCCGAACTAGTACGAACACCCTCNTGGCTTGTTTCACGTTTTTTTCCGCTTCAGGTATAACTGAAAGCAGCTGCAATTCAAACTACTCCACTTACTCAAGTTAAGAGTGTGCGTAGAACCGTTCAAGGGGAAAGTATCGTTAAATAGTTTGCTTGTATTTTCGTGGTCTGAAGTTATCTTATGAAAGTATTCTCCTGTTTCATTCTCGATTGAATAGTTCGGTCTGAAATACCTCGAAAAAGGTGAGTATTAAACGTTCGAAAACATCCTAGAGGTTAATTCACAACACACACCGAGCCAAAATCCTAACAAACATAGTACCTCGTTGTTGGCGTAACCACCAGCGCCGGGGATGGGAGAATCCCCAACGCGACCGGGAATTTTGTGACGCAACCCTGTGGTCGAGACTCCGACTGCAAGTGATCCCGTCGCGTCCAGAGCAATCAGCCCGATTGTATCATGGTTACCTTCACTTGCAATTGCCTGATGTGAGTCCGGGATACAGGGAGAAGACACTAAGTGGAAAGGGTAGAATTAGGAAGACAAATAACAATGATATATATATGATATATATATATATCAGTTTAAATATCTACAAATCATAGACTTGATCCTAACAGTTTAATGCAATAGGAATGTGATGTATTTATAGGACACAATGCTACACAGGAAAAATCGTTCATGAAGTTATAACAAAAACTCTAATCTATACCTTTGATGATTTATAGAGCGAACAAAATAAACTTTGTGGGTGCTAAAATGGCAACTTGACCTTGCACGATGCGCGCGCGATTCCCATTCAAAGCCCAAAATCGTAAAACGATAAACAAACTGAAATGCAAAGGAAATTAGTCCTGGAGTTGATTGTGGATTATTCAGAGTTTACCCAAACGACTAATCCTCAGTTCATCCAGTCAATCATATGCTCGGGGATCAATCGAATCAACTTTCACGCTGGTCAGAGTTCAGCAGAAGTGCAGGCTCATCAGTCCACTCGGGATTTCAACTGCAGATCTCTCTCTCTCATATATATGTATATATATATATATATATATATATATCGTGTTGACAAGAATCACTCAACTAGCCTTAATTTTAAATCACATTTACCTCACAGTAGATGCTTGTGTGCACTGGGGGGGTTGAGGGTTGCTGATTTTGACCGATCATTCTTGTGACAGCAGCATCATGCACAATCCTCAGTTCATCTGGTCAGCTACATAAATAGCTGGTCCCGAACCAAAACAGACACTCCAATGCAACTCATTTTGAATATCACACATCGGTTTTTCGGAATAAAAATCGAACCGAAAATTTCTGAAGCTCACCCCCATGGACCGCCACATATGGTCCACCACTAGTTGATGGATCGGGCATCCACGCACCGGGTTTTCGAAAATTCGGTTGGCAGTTGTTCTCTTTCCATTTTTTCCAAAACTCAAAGGATTCCGGTGAGTCTAACGAAGTGGTCTGGAATCCTCTGGATCGAGCAAAATCAGCTGCCTTTTGCCCTGCCAGCAGAGTGTGCTTGGTGGACAATAATACTTCACGAGCCACCTGTGTGGCGTGTAGTATATCGGGCATGACGGCCACAGCACCCACCTATCAAAATAGATAAATGAAACAGATGAGTTGACAAGGGTTATGGGGTAGCAGTCAATTGTTTTTGTTTGTTGCATTTAATGCGCGGCTACGAACTTAAAAATGGAGGAAATACGAGAACATTATTGTTACGCTCCTCGTTTATCCCGCGAAATAGAAACCATGGTAAGCTTTTCGAATCCGGTAGGACAAAAGGTGAACAGTGATGAGCTAGCGAAGTCTAAGCGTTTTAGTTGGAATATCGTCAAATATTTCTCAGATATGAACAAAAATAAAAAATAAAAATAAAAGCTCGAAAATGTTGTACATCTATTTCGATCCTGTCGAGTTTCATCCGCACAGTGAATATAGATGAGAAAAGATAACTATTTGAGCAGTTTCTAGTGTGAACGAGTATAACCGGTGATACAGGGTACTTGGGATATTGAACATGCAAGATGTTTTACAGTGTTCTGACCGGTAAAACCGTCATTCTAGGATCCTTAGCAAGCTTAGTCGACCCTTTTGATGTTCTTTCCCGATCATCACGATCCACGCGATCTGTGACCACTGTTTTTCTACCCTGTATCATGCTCAAGACCCTGCCTGGACATTCAATCACTGTTTATTCATCCCAGGCTATGCATATTTCATAATCATCATATTTTCGATAACTGTTTGTTTATACACCCCCTCCCC